AGACCGATAATGGGGTGTTCAGTATCTTTGCCACTTGTACAGAAGTTCAGGCTGGGCGTGCCAAAGTGCCAAAGTGCCAAAGTCACCGATGCCCTTTTTTCACCTCTGAGCACCTGCCAGTCGAAGTGTCTGCACCAGCCCTGGCCGTGTGGCACAGCTTGTGGTCTGACGGGAGTCCCTCACCGAACCCACAGGGGGCGCCACTCATTCCTTTTGGGGACAGATGTCGGGGGGGGCGCATTGTCCTACACTTCCCAGCAGTGGGTAACATGCTGGCTTTAAGAAAAAAAAAAAGTCTTGTCATTTTAAATCTTGAGTCTCTGGCCCGCAGTAACACCCGTGAGTCTGGAACTCATCCAAAGTGCAGCTCTATAAATGAGCACAGCTTTGAGTTGCTTTGTAGAGAAGTGCTGTCTAAGCAGCGACATCACACCTGCCCAGGCGCTGCTCAGGGCGCCTACTCGGGCTGGGAAAGGCCCGGCATCAGTGCTCATCTTTCATTTTCAGCGTTTATAAACTGTACAATCTCTGTACAAACTTCTGTCCGGATTCTGTTTGTGCGCAGTATTGATTTTGTTTTTAATGTGTCAAATTACTGTAGGTAAAATAGATTTTTTTTCCATAAAGTGGAGTGTATCTCCATGGGCACGAGGTGCGTGGGTTTCTATTCAGCCTGCTGAAGCCGCTCTCCGCACGACAGGATCTCCCAGCTGCCGTTAAGGTGGAGATTCTACCCCTGGCTGGAAACCGCTTTGAGAAATGCAGAGCATCGCTGCCGAAGACTCAGTCGCCTGGCCGTGAGATGAACGGGGGACCTGCGGCCCTGAAATGACCACACATCTCTGCCAGAGTCCCGCCTCTTCTTAGCCTTAAATTAAGACAGTAATGAACGACCATCTAATCCAGGGTAACACATTTCTGAATACTGCAGGCCTTGACTGTCAAGGAGAAAAGTAGCAGTTTTAATGGGAGAACAGCCATGCCAGTTGGCTCGGTGGTCAGCACTGTTGCCTCACAACTTAGGGAGTTGGGTTTGAGTCTCCCCCTGGGTGTCCATGTTCTCCCAGTGTCATCATGGGGTTTCCTCTGGGTAATCCAGTGTCCCCCCCACAGTCCAGAAACATGCCGAGGCTAATTGGAGTTATCAAATTGCCCGCATGACTGTGCCCTGCGATGGGTTGGTGCCCCACCCTGGGTTGTTCCCTGCCTTGTGCCCTGCGATGGGTTGGTGCCCCACCCTGGGTTGTTCCCTGCCTTGTGCCCATAGGCTCTGGACCCCCTGTGCTCCTGAATAGGACAAGCGGTTACAGAAAATGGATGGAAACAGCTGTGATTTTTTTTTTCCACGTTTAGAGCAAAATCATCTCTATAGTCACAACCACCTGTAAAGTTAAGGCGTGATTCGGGCAGCAGAGCTCAAATCCCCTCAGCGGATACTGACGCCTCCAGCTGGATCTGGAACCTTCTACCACAGCCGTTCTGCAGGTCCCTTCCAGTCCCGTCATCTAGATAATACCCACAAACTCTGAGTAAGACAGCACCCGCCGCCTGGAGAGGAGGGGGGCCTGGGGTGGCGGTTAAGGGCAGAAATGAGCTGCTGATTAGGGAGGAGGAGCATGAGGAGAAGCAGCGGGAGCCCCCCATGACTCCCGAGGAGCCGAGCCGGCCCTCCTTCTGGCTTCAGGGTGCCCCCCCCATTTTGTACCTCGAATAGGCTGTCAGGCCTCCCACTGGCAATGCGGTCCCCAGCAGGGACACCGATCTGCCCTCTGCATCCTCACCCACACCCAGATCTACACCCACACCTGAACCGACGACAACGGCAGACGGAGTGAGACAGCCGTTGGCTTCAGATACAGAACATCTCACGCCTCAGACAGCTGGAGTTCTGCACATCTCCTGCTTGCATTGTGAGCTTCTAACTGTCCAAGTCCTACCCAGCAAGCCAACATTATGTGGAAGAATGAGACCAACCCCCCCCAATTATAGCATTTGATTGAACTGTAAATGTCTTTTTGCCTGGGGTATCACCAGCTGGCATAGGTATGACATCACTCATAGGGGCTGGCAGCTTTGGACCAGAGGGGGCGGGACTGCTGCTGCTTCGGGGAGAAAGTGGCTGAAGATGAAATACGGCCATAGTGCTTCCACAGCCAATTACCTAACGCTGGGTGGTGTTCAGATGGGAGCCCGCCTTGGGAAGATGGAGGCAGGGGACACTCTGGATGGGATGCTGGTCCATCTTAGGACAGATATACACACACACTGACACACACAGAGCCAGGAGTGGGAATCGAACCCATAACCCTAGAGTCACAGTGCTAATCATTGAATCATTGACTGTGCTGCTCATCATAGAATTAAATACAATTAAATAAAATTAGGTACAATCAAAAACAGTGCTAAGAAACCATAATACAGACAAATGTAAGGCAGGTGATTTTAGGGAGCGAAACGGCAGCCTTGTGGGGACGTATCTGCACCCCCACGGCTCAGAAACGGGAAATGGGCAGAAGGAGAGAGAGAGGTCATGTGCTTCACAAACATCACCGTGTCAGATCAGCCGCTTTCTGTTGGCATTTGCCACATATGTCGTAATTTAAAGCATGCGGCTCTCTGGCCAAGATCTGCATTTTACACCCAACTTTCTTGGAGACTGAGGTCAACAAAAACCAACCTTTCTTTCTCTTTGGGGGGGAGGGACCCCAAGACCTTTCAGCTGATTCCAATGTTTCCAATGTTGTTTATTTAAACGGAATAAAATACAGGTTTAAGAACGAGAGCACAGTTTTGGTTGTTTTTAGATTCATTTAGAAAATGCTCAATTACCTGAAAATCAGGCTGGTTAGAAATTCCTTTGGCCACATCTTTTAAAAATGACACAACATCCAATTACGCCCCAGTGACAGCTGGTAAAGTCAATTCCACCTGAAATTAAATTTCACCTTCAGAAGTTGGCACGTGGATTGTTTGGTTCAATCTAAGATGTTTCCAGTCCAGGAAATAGGCTTAGGTGGGGGGCAGTGAAAAATGCAACATGCAAAAATAAAAACAGATGGCAGACACAAATCCCTACCCATAAACCCCCACGCTGTCCAGCTTACAGTGTGCGAGGAGCAGAAATGACTCAAGGCCAAACAGTAAGAAGTGCAAATTAAGTTCTCCCAAGTACCTCCACAGTATCTTACAGTTTTAATTTGATTTAGTTAAATCAATAATCAACAGAAACCTTCTGCTGATCTTCTGTAGTTACAAGCCCACTATTGCTTCATGCACATAGGTGGGCGGGACAATGTTGCATCAGACATGATGTTATAGGTCAGTCTCTGTGTTCGTCTCTTTTAAAAATGCATAACTGCCCTTAATGAGTGATGCATGCTTGGGTGTCCTGTGACGGACAGGGCTGGTTCACTGGACCCTTCACTGGATACAGAAGCACACGGATGAAGGCGGGACTGAAATAGATGACTGGAGACTGTGGCCATGTGCAGAAATGCAGGAAGTGTGGGGCGCTATGTGATAAATGGAAGCGGGACGTCAGTTACTGTACGCCCACGGGGTTCTTCACGGCTCATATTGGACAGTAATGGCACTGGATTCCCTACAGTGTGTGCTGGGATGTGGTACTGAATCGGAAAGCAGCCTGAGGCCAGTGCCAATGGAAATGACACATGGAACTGGACCGCTGAATGAAGAATGCCCCCTAGGGGCCATGAGAGGGGATGGCATAGCAAAGCTCTGAAATAAGACACGCATGTGAGAGCACAATGGCTCAGTGCACAATTCACTCCATGGAGGAGCCAGTTCACTTTGCTCTATAGCAAAGGGCGGCTCCCTGAAGCCGAAAGACTGCAAGACCCTCAGCGCGTGGGTGCTACTGAGCACGCTCCAACTTTTATACAGTGCAGGACCCTCAGCGCGTGGGTGCTACTGAGCACGCTCCAACTTTTATACAGTGCAGGACCCTCAGCGCGTGGGTGCTACTGAGCACGCTCCAACTTTTATACAGTATGCAGTCACAGGTTGTGTAAACAAGCATGAACAGGTTGGTTGGCCGACTCGATTTTCCCGCCTGAGGCCCGTGCCAATGGAAATGACACATGGAGAGGTAGAGAGGCATGGAAACATGGGAGTCCTTCCTGCGGAACCGACCACCATGGAGGCGTCAGGCGTTTCGCTCAGCTGGGGGGATGAACTCCAGACCCAAATGGGCGAAGATCTCCTCCTCCGAGGCGGCACGCAAGTACTGCCTCTGGGAAACAGACACAGAGAAGACAGTCAGGGGGCAGGGAGAAAACAGTCGTCATCACACAGGTTTCTCAGTTCTCTGACAGTGTATAATCTGCACCTGCTGTATGTGTAAAGCTCGCACTAACTGACATATCTGATTTCAAGATTGTTGCACCAGCTACAAGCATGGAGCTTCACCAAAAACCAGTTCACTTCCACTGCCGTGACGGAGAACTGGCACCAGCACGCACTGGAAGTACACTGTACCCGCACATCGAAGACACACCGGCATGCGGCTAAACCAGGCCTTCTGAACATCAGCCAGAGCAGTTACAACCTTGACAGGCGGACAGTGTGATATCCAATTTGTGCAGTATTTTATAAAAGCCCCCAAATCATTAGCTTTCAATCAGTAGAAAAGGGTCTTTACCGCATGGGGGGGGGCAGCAAGTACCACAAAGAAAGTGTCGCCCTCTATGTTTCGCGTTATGTCAGTACAATAACGTCCACAAGACACGTCAACAGAATCCTCACTGTTTAATTTTTCTGTAATAATTATTGAGTAGAAAAACAACACTGAGAAGTAATTGTCAATCAGTTTGCTAGAAATAATAAATAATATTTTTATACCCCCCCCACCTCCTAAATTCATGGTGTTTGGTCCAGTCAGTGATTCTAAATGGAGCACGCTAAGCCCGTGGCCTTTGGGGCCCGTGGGGGCCCGTGGGGGCCCGTCTCTTACCCGCGTGGAGTCGAACAGGGCGTGGCTGCTCAGGGACATGCTCTTCTCCTGGCCTGCCCAGCGACGGAGCTCCCTCTCAAAGAGCTGCAGACAGAGAGACGGGTGAACGGACGGAGGGGGGGAAGGCGGAGAGCGAGGAGGAGTGACGCTAAGGATAGGCGCTAGACCGCGAGTCCGGGGGAGAGGCAGAGGAGGAGAGAGGAGGAGGAGGAGGAGAAACCGGGAGAAAGTGCACAGCGAGAGGTCAGGGAGAGAGAGAACAACGGCTCGACGGACTGACCCGGACAGCAGCCTGCCCATTAACCCAGAGCGCACAACAATTTGTAATTAATTAGGCAATTAGCACCCAGCTCAGATGGGTCAGCGACACAGGATTGGCTGGCTGTCAAGGGACCCCACGCTGACAGCGATCCATCGCAGCCAATCAGACCTTTACAGCCCTGTCCTTGGCTGGGCCCTCCACTCTCTCTGCACCCAAAGGCATTAACGTTCACAGCGGTGATGGGAGGAGCAAGGCCTTCGGTGGGTGGAGCCTCACCCAGTCTAACACCTCTGCCCCCGTCACTGCATCAAGCAGGAACTAGGGTCATGTTAAGGAAGCTGTGCTTTACACTGCCACAGGAGAGCCAATGCAAGCAGAAACTAAAACCACATTCAAGTTTTTTTAAAGTATATTTTTCAAAGAAAGTGTATAATACTGAGCTATATGTTCTTTCCTTTAAATTTCTTGACCCTAATAATGAACCCAACAGGCAGAAGAGTGACCTACCAAGCAGCACTACAGAACCCCCCCCCCCCACCCCCGACCCCCCAGGTGTGACCCCCCCGTGTAGTATAGGGTTATTCTGGGTGCTCCGGTTTCCCCCACCATCCAATGACAGGCAGCCAGGCTGATTGGCTTCTCTACAACGCCCACAGTGTGATTGTGGGGGTGTGTCCTGTGACGGACCGCACCCCCACCCTGCGCTCCTGGGATAGGCTCCAGACCCCCCCCCCCCACAAACCTGACCAGGATAAGCAGTTTGAAGATGGACGGATTTGATGAAAATCTACATCAAAACTATATCACAATAGTTCTGCAAAAATAAACACTTCATGACATTTCCAGACTTAAGGATGCAATCAGGCAAGTCTAAAGAACAGGTGACATGAATTAACTGAACAATTAGTGTCAAAGCAACAAATCATTCTTTAGGCACAGGATCTACACACGTCCCTTTTTAACCAATGTCTGACGGGGCCCAAAAGCAGGTTAGGGTTAGTGTCCCCTGCAGGACACCGTACCTGAGAGCCAGTCCAGCCAAGCAGGGCAAACGCATACTGACTGATGGGGGTGACGACCAGGTCCACTCTCACAGCCTTCCAGCCCGGGGACTCCCCTGTGCCCCCCTCCTGCGCCTCAGGTGCTCTGGGAGCCTGTGTGCTTCCCTGGGGGGCCACACGGGGCAGCATCAGCTTGAAAATGGTGAAGCAGCGTTCAAAGCGGTCCATGTTACTTGCGGAACGGGCTGGCCACTCTTTGGCCTCCAGGTACGAGTTCTTGTGAATTTTCTGGTATAGCAACAAATCCTGTTGGGAATAATAAATAATGAACCCAACAGGCAGAAGAGTGACCTACCAGGGTTAAAATGGCTGACGTGGCACAAATTTCTAAAACGCTGTTGGAAGGCTTGACGTACCCGTGTCTCCAGCCAGCCGATGACCTTGGGCAGTAGCTCCTCCTCTCTACCCTCTTCAGGGTGAGTGATGAGGAAATCGACATCATGGCCTGTCTGCTTCCCCCTGTGCGCACAGACCCAGGTACGGTGAGGAAAGACCCTGTTTGTGATGATGCTGGTCTTGAGAAAAATGGACAGAGAACGGCAGTAAACCGCTCTGGAACGCAGCCAGAAATCTGCAGGTAACCTGCCCACCAGATGAGAGGGAAGTTAGTTCGTGTCTCACTGTCTTTCCGTAATGACACAGACGCACCTGCGGAATCCCCCCGTCAGCGTGATCCGAGCCCCAGGAAGCACAGCACCGACGGCCTCCCCCACGATCCCCTGGAGAAGGTCCGCCTCCGCTCTGGTGACAGGGGTGCTGAGGTCCTCATAGTAAAGCATGCCTGGTAGGAAAGCGGCGCGCGGGGCTGACAGACAGACCAGCGGGAATCTGAGGTGCACGTTTTTTAGGAACTCATTTGGAAGTGACCTTGGATCTCCAGAGTGAAATTAATAAACTTCCCAGGGAGGTTTTATATGATTCTCAGTCCTACTGTCACAAAATTCCTGTGCAAAAGTGGTTTTCAGTGAATATTGCAAAAGCAAAATACAAAGGAATTAAATGCCCAATTCTGGTCAGTGATTTCTTTTGCCCTTTCATATAACTAATTGTAATTAATGGGGAATTTTGGCTGCATTAATACTTGAACACTGTTTATTGCTATTTTCATATTTGGACACCATTTCATAAGATTAGTTAGTACTACAGCATGGTAACTTGTAACAAGGCTAGACTCCCAGCTATCACAGTGGTCCTGGTCTAAACCTAATTTAGCCAGATGTGCCACTGTTCAGGTCTCATCCTTCTAACATAAATACTGCTGTACAAAACATCCCACAGATGTTATCTGAGGGTTCCATTCTCCGTCTGCAGCTCATCGAGATCTTCCATTGGTCGCCCTGTGAGCGCCATCAAAACCTGACCTACCTCAGGTACCTTTGCTGGTCTCTCTCTCCCCGAGGCCAGTTACTGCTGCTGTTACACACCCATGAAGTACCAGATAACAGCACTACCTCGGTACTCTGGTTGGAAGGTGTGACCTGGACATCTCCGCGGTTTACCTACCCGCTGCCTGCGCCCGGTTCAGCTTCTTGCCAAAGGTCTGAAGGTCAGCCGGCCTCCGGATTCCCTCCCAGAACCAGAGCTGGGCCGTTTTCACACCCACGCCGAAGATACCGGTGAGTGCCTGAAGTCAGAAAGAGGAAGCATGTGGTACAGGAGATCTGGGCCCGTATTCACAAAGCCCCTTAGCGCTAAAAGTAGCACCCAAGTCTGGGAGAACTAAAGAGTAGTGGAGACGACTCCTATGTCACTAAGACCGATTCACAAACAGTCGCAAAATGGCTGCTGTCTGTCCACGTCTCAATGTCTTGGAAACATTAAACAAACGCTGAATTATTTAATGGATACTGCCTCAGTCGGGAGGGAAAAATGACTGATGTGGAGCTTGTGAGGGATGCAATAACATCTCCAACAAACCCAATCATACACAGTAGAAAACCCCTATAGTGATCATGTCAGTCTGGGTGAAATTGATCACTTTACGTGGAGGACCATTATGACCAATTTTTTTTCATTTTCTTTATGTCTCAGGCAGATTACCATCTAATTGACATTTGTATATTTATTACATGAAAAAGTAATAAAATGGACAGCATCGCTATGTACTGAATTTTATTGACTCGTTCAAAATACAGTACAGCTCTTAACGCTTTTCAAATTCCTGAACTGTGTATAATTCAAATACACTATAACACAGTACTGTACATAAAATATAGCTTATAGTTTTGCTGCTGCATCTCAGTGGCTTGTTTCTGGCAGTTTCTCATAAGCTTTGATTGAGAGAAAATGACTCTCTTTGTCCTGTCATGTTTTCTGTGCACACCGCAATAGTCTCAGGAAGATAGTCAGAAACAGATAGGTTACCAAAAGGCAAATTAGTTTTAATTTTTTCCATATATATTCCATATATTCTGAAATTAAAAACTAAGTGGACTACTTGATTATTATAAACAAATTATTTAAACAGCATTTGTACAGGAATGAGTCCGTCTCAAGCTTCCCAATCCATGTAAGCGGTTGATCACTGTAACCATGATCACTATAAGCAGTTTCCACCATATTTGTATTTATGGGCATACATGTGCCTCTCATATGCCAATTCCTACATTTATTGCCAGGGAATTCGGGCATGAGAACTGACATCAGCCATAGTCCTTACTCTTATCTTCGGAATTGGCTCTTTTCCTAACTAAAAGTTGCTCTCAGCCACTTTGTGAATAGGTTTTAGGAAAAACTCTTAGTTAAAAACTTTTAGTGCTATTTAGGAGTACTCTTAGTGGTAAGGTAACATGCTTTGTGAATACAGGCCCTGAAGAAGGGTCTAGGACAGGGGTGGCCAATCTTATCCGCAAAGGGCCGGTGTGTATGCAGGTTTTTCGGATAACCTGTAGGTCAGCTGTTCAATCCCAGGTGTGAGGACTCTTCAGTCAATCAGTCCTTTAATTAGTAATGATATTACGGAGTTGCAGCGAAAACCCGCACACACACACCGGCCCTTTGCGGATAAGACTGGCCACCCCTGGTCTAGGAAGAGACCAACCTTCATCGCCTGGTACTTCTCAGACTGCTGTGTGCACTCCACCTCACTCGACACCCCATCCTCCAGGATCTCCTGGATGCGTCGAAGCAGAAAGGCAGTGAGGTAAGCGCTGATCCGGTCACGACGCCCGTGTCCCACTAACAGATGCGCCTCGGGGTCACGGCGGCCCCAGCGACTTGCCCCACCTTGATGACCCTCCGCGAGTGTTCCCCCAGGCAGGGCAGGCCGCGCAGATCCTCCAGGGAGCACACGGGCCCCTGCAGCGCTTTCAGCACCGCGCTCGCCCTCTTGAACGCGACGCTGCGGCCTTCGTTCTCACAGAACTCAGCATTTTCGGACAGCAACTGTAGTGCGTCCTGGGGGAAGAGGTCGAGGTCACCTATAGCCAAAGTCACTTACAAACAGCACATTTCATTCGTCATCTAACTCATTTACATTAAACAAAAAAAAAATATTTTCACTGGAGAAATTCAGTTTAAGTACCACACTCGAGTACTACCATATTTGCCAACGTATAAGACGACTGGGCGTATAAGACGACCCCCCCACTTGGAGGCATGTTTTTCAGGGGGAAAAAGTCGTCTTATACGCCGGCAAATACGGTATTTTATGGGTCCGTTTTGTTCACAGAATGATAAATTCAAGTCATGGTTTCATGTCTCATCGCAGCATGAATGCTTCAGCAAATACAAAGGCCCAAGGTCCTGTATCACGGGGCCAGATTTATTGCTTAGCCGGATAACTTGGAGGCTAAGTACAGGCAAATCTGGCTTTCACGACGCTGGTTGACTTCTTACGGTAACTCGTGCTCTGCAGCAGGTTTGACGTGTAGCATATTATGTTTCAGGATCACGGACTTCAAACAGTGCTCAGACCAATTAGAGACGTCATCGGAACATTACCTAATGTAACAAATGGGCTTTCCCAAACTCACGAAACAGCATGAGAATCCTATGACTGTAGTAAAGTTAGCTGTATATTCAATAGTAAGTCTTCTTCTTGTAATATCTTTCACCAAGCAAGACAGGCAGTTTTTAAATGACAGACCTTTGTTGTCCACAATCAGAGACAATCAGAGATATCTAAGGAAAGAGGCGATCTCTGCTGTAACAAGATATTGGTTCTGCAATTTGAGTTGATAGCAATTCTTTCACACCCCTTGGTTTTCCAGATTACTTTACGGGCAAATTTTAATTAATATGTGGATGTTCACATCTGCACTTCGTGTCCAATAGCTTTTGTTCTCTTACAGTCACTAGTGGTGAATGAACACAGTATTAATAAAGATGTATAGAAATACACAACCTGAAAATCAAGTGCTGAGCATTGGACCCCATAGTCCGTTGCTTAAACCACACTTTACTGGACATGTCTGTCTCATTAAGTTCTATAGTTGGGCTTGGATATTGCTCTCCTAAAACATCTAACACCATTGTCATCTTCCCCAGGTACATACTCATGCTGTGAGATGGATAAAGGAATACTGAATGGGTTTTGAAAGGTGACCAGTTTAATACTGAATAATAAAAAAGGGATTATGAATATGACTAAAATGACTAAGAATAATTACGAAAACCACAAAGCATGTTTGGAAATTATTGCCATTTTCTTACCGACAATCACACTGTATGTATTTATGCCGTCAGTAATCCACTGCCGACCTGCTATTCTAGCTCAGTGTCGCTCTTCACCGTTATTGTACTTTAGAATTCCTCATATTTTACCATAATAATGCTCTCTTATGCTGCATTGAAATACATAACTCTATTGCAATTCCTGCATTAATGATTGGCTGATCATTACACACGGCAAGCTTTTATGTACATGTTCTCAGGAAGTAATCTTGGTTTCAAAAGAAAGCCTGGCTTAATATAGATTGCTGATAGTCAGCGTCACGATTTCTCAATTTATCTCAATTTGCATTCTTAAACCAGTTTGGCGATACAGGTGCCAGTTTAGGAGTATTGGTTGACTTCTTCCATTTGAAAAATAAAAATGAACCATGCAAAACAAATACTCGGGATACAAAAAGTAACACATCTGAGTATTTCCTAGCAATTTTAAAACGCAGCCCATAATTTCTTTATTTGTTCTCTCACCGACATATTCACTGCAAAAATATAATATGCTACAAATATTTCAGAGGGTAACAAGCAATATGGCCTGGTAACTACAATACTAAGAATGATAGCAGTGGATTGTGGGAAAGAGGAGGACTTACAGTTAGGACCATGTTATGATGCTGTAGCGGAGTCCTCCTCCGACAAGCGTAGCTGTCCATCGTGTTCCCTGCACTCTGCGTACTGGGCTCAGGTACCTGGACAAAGTTGGTATAATAATAATAATGACATTTTCAATGACATTTTCTTTCTACCTACCCCATCGTGCTCTCCATGACATATAGACCTGTATGTGGGTGACAGCGAGTTTAGCAGTGAAGGGCAGCCACCTGCAGCGGCACCCATGGGACTGGGGGTTAATGGCCTTAGTCAAGGGCCCACAAATGTGACTATTCTACTGAGGCCGGGCTTGAACCAGCAACCTTCCGATCACAGGCACAGAGGCCAAGCCCGCTGAGCCACCCACACTGCCACCCCATTAGCTGGGGTTTCAAGGAAACTAAGTAATGTGAGGCAACTCAAATTTTAAAAGGTCTGCTTATGCCACACCGGGTACAGGGTACAGTTTCTGTCGCATCAGTCTCTCACCCGCAAACGATGTCTGTCCTCGATGCTGACGGGGCAGCCCTCTCTCATGCTCTCCGTGAACCACATGATGTCCAGGAGATGGACAGTGTCTCTGTCTCCTCTCTCGGTTACCTGGCTCTCCAGCCATGCCTGCACCTCCTCCCCAGAGGTGTTTTCTGACACAATGTGTGTCACAGCCTGACTAAATCACCAAGATACAGCAAGTAAGTAAAAACTCAGTAAAACAGAACCAGATTATACAATCAATTCCAACGGGGTTATCTAAGACTTAATGCACCTACACAGTACAATTCTGTTACCAAAAACATCTCAGATGTATAGTTTTTGGCAGCAAAACACGAGAGCACACTTCTTTACCTTAGAGAGTCCTCTACCCGAAATCCTTTGCTCCTGCTGAGCCGTGAGAGAAAGGCTCTCCGGCTGGCGCCCATCCTTTTTTCAAAGAGAAAGATAACAATATGTGGAAACTTGACATTCTCGGCATTACTGCTGCCAGCTGGAGAGGGCACCGTTTTCCTGCGCTTCAGGGGAATCATGGGCATGAAAACGTACCACGCGGAAACCGACAAACGAATGACTCCGTTAACACTCTGCGCGATGCAAGGAAGGAGGTGCTGGCGCCCCTCTGCCTATGCGCCCCGAAGCTGCTACGAGTGTAAAAGCAGGAAGGATGTGCAACTATAACCATTCCGACTAGGAAATCGCTAATTCTCATCAACGGAGAGAATCTCATCCTCCATGTTTAAATTTTACAACCTCCGATTAACCAAGGAAAGTAATACAGTCAAATATGTCTGCGTGCCGAATCTGTACGATCAAACGCGTTTCGTTATTGCAGAGTCCCGATCTGCCATATCTCGTGAGCAATGCGGCTAACAAAAAAAAACACTGGCCATGCTGGGAGCAATTGGCTTGCATACAAGTTAAAAGCAGCCGGGTGAAGGATATATTTAAGTTATCGGGGTCGCCGCCACAAATGCAGGAAAGTAAGAAAACCAAGCGCCTGATAGCCGAATGGGAAGCTGATTGGCACTGCACCGGTTATTAACTAGTGAGAGGTGTAACTTTCCTAACTAGCAGTGCCTCAGCAGTACTAAATTAACCAATATCACTCAGCACAAGCCGAAATCAAACCGGCCTTTGCGCCCCTAGAAGTCCCCATAGACACCTTGTAAAATCGGCCCATTAAAAAGTTTTGCTTTGTACACTAGTTGTACTAAAACGTTCTACGCATTTTCTTCACTCCTGATTTGGTTTTTAACCCAGCGAACGAGAATCGTAATATTTTTTTGCTGAGTAATTACAATCGTGTTTTAAACTTGCAAAAAAAAAATATCACGTCATATGACCGTCGGCAGGCGCCTCACGCTTCCTCGAACGCTTCAGACCTCCCCTTTATATCGCTTTCCGTAACTTCTGCCCTCCTCTCTATATTTTCCTATGTGCAAATCACTGCGTGTGCAGCAGCAGCGCTGTTCCTGGGCTGTAGTTGCCGATGGCCGCTCGGGAGACGAGACGGAGCGCGAGGGGCGGGCGCGCGAGCCGGGGGGCAGCGCTCGCGGCGCTGTGTGCCTGCGCGCTCTGGGGCTCCGCTTTCGCCAAGCCCAGCAACATCGTGCTGATCCTCACCGACGACCAGGATGTCCAGCTCGGGGGACTGGTGAGATCCGCTTCCCCGGGCACTAACCTGGAAAGCCCCCGTTCATGACCGACTCACATTCACCAGTAACTTAATTAAGCTGGTGCAACTGCCCAGGAAGTTTGACTTTGAAAGTGCTGTTTGATGTGATATGTGGCTCGTTTGCGGTGTTAAAGGTGATCTCGATCCTGCGTCGCACCTATCATCTGGAAAAAGGCAATGCAGCTGTATTTCTGCGGTTTGAAATGCAAGTTTCAATATACAAGCACCGGCCTTAAGCTCGCTTATTGCTTTTCCGTGTAGCCCGAAGTGTGAAACATGCAGTAACTCAATTAATCGGCGGACAAAACACAAACGCATTACTTTACATTTACTGCCCCTTGCCTCCCGCGTTATGGGTTCATAGAAAGATAAATGTTGAAACTTTAGGTTAGTTGTCTGATTAGATCGGGACGGATGGATTCGTGCCAAATAGTTTACACCTATGCTGTCATGTGACTGTGCAGGTGGAATGGCTGTTAAACGTGGCGAACGTTTTCTCTATACTCTTAATCTCCCCAAAGACAAATGGTGCTTGACCGGGGGTTGTTTCTGATGCATAAACCTGCCAGCCACTCTGAGCTTCCGCTTTCATTCATTTTTTTTCGCTTCGTCTCGAGCAGTAAGCGGTTTGCTGGGTCGAAGGGCATTCACACACATTCTAGTTTACGATCCCCTTTCTGATGCGAGTCTCTATTGAGTTGTCACACACACGATAAACATTGACAAAATGTACGCACACACGTACACATCAGTGAAAACAAATGTTGCCTTGTCCATGATAACTGGTTGGAAGATGTTTTAGTGTCACCAACTTTGGTCAGGTTTTTTGTAAGTTTTATTACTTTGTAAACAATATGTACGGTTTGCAAACTACCCCCAATGCTTTTGGTAAAGCTAATTTTAGATTTATGATGGAATAATGTAGATTTGTCATAAGATTTCTTGCGTGAGAGTCATGCGAGATGCGCCAGAGCTGACGACCTAGAATGGGGAAATGGGAAAAACTGAAATAACCAGTGGTTATGGGGGACAAACCCAAATGGTGTTAGCTGACATTATCAAGCGTATGCGGAGCTTCAAATGCTGGGTCTTGTAATTATTAACTTGCACAATGTTTATTTTCTGCTGCCTTAGACGCCAATGAAGAAGACAAAATCGCTGATTGGTGATGCTGGTGTCTACTTTTCCAATGCTGTGAGTATTTGTTCCTAATATCAGAAGCCCATAGTTTGTGGTAGACTATTTGACTTGTGTGTAGTAATGATAAGTAAATGCCTCAAGAGCCATCTGGCCCATGGATATCTCCAGTTCTCTGATGCCTCTTTATGTTCCCTGAATGTTGCACTTCTGGTCCTTGAATTGTCGTACTGTATTAGGTTCTTTCTTTGTTAGAACTCGTGCAGCTTCTGTATTCATTGGTATCTCAGCCGAGTCCTTGGCAGTCATACGTTTGTAATGTGCATTTTGTCTCACTTGAATGTCACTTTGGACAAAAGTTTCCGCTAAATGCAGGGTTTTTAAACCCAGTACTCTGGACCCCATGTGATCCTCATTTCTGCTCCCCATCAGCTCGTGAAGTTTCTGTGCACGTCTGAAACCTGCTAACACACACACAGAAATCGCCCCCCCTGCGCCTCCCTCTCTACCTGAAATAAATCCCCATCTTTTCCTCACTTCCTCAAACTGCCTTTCATATGCACAGTTTGTTTTAAAAAAAAAAAACATTCTAAATTTCTATTGTGGTATATAAACGTTACCTTAAAGGATGGATCATTTTACTATAAATATTATTTCTGATCAGTACTAATTGTTGTGATGTTTGTAAGTTTTTCTGTAACCTCGTCTGCTTTGCGCGTTCTTCAGGTCTGGATGTTTGCTTTACCTCGCCTGTTGTTGTGCCTTCCTTTCCCACCCCCCCAGTTCGTAGCGACGCCTCTGTGCTGCCCCAGCCGTAGCAGTATCCTGACGGGGAAGTACCCCCACAACCATGAAGTGCGCAACAACTCCCTGGGGGGCAACTGCAGCAGTCCTGCATGGCAGCAGGGCCCCGAGATGACAGCGTTTCCGGTCTTCCTGGGCAAACAGCTGTACCAGACCTTCTACGCGGGAAAGTACCTCAACCAGGTCCGCTGTGACTCCTTTCTTACCGTCCCGCAGTAAAATGGTCTCTCTATTGCTCTTTAGTAATCGGTGTTGTATCCCA